AGAAGGGGGCATCCGTCCAGGTGGGGTGTGCCCCACCGATGAGATGACTGATGCTTTGGGGCACAGAGCGTCCCACTCATCTAGTGAACTGCAAGCACCCGGGGCGGAGGAAGACGCCAGGCTATACCTGGCTTGGCATCTTCTCCAGCCCGTGTGTGTGTGACACTGCTTGCCTCGATGACCTCATTCAAGAACTGCTTCCTTTTCTTCTCTTCGTGTAGGCCCAAATATTTACTTAGCTTCACTTTTTTCTTCCCCCTAATGAACCCACTCAACAGATTAATCCTGAACAAGTCAGACCACCCAAGTCTGGGTATCAGGTCCTCCAAACTGGAGGAAAACACTGTATTAGTGAGCAGGCTCCAATTCTCATACCCTCTAGGGGACTACATCAGTGGGAGTTATTTTCCATTTGCACTCCCAGCACCCACCACGAGTGTCTGGCACATGGCGGACTCTTAATATTTAAAAGTTTTTTTGATCAATGACCCTGGCAACTGTGAACCCTTCGTGGGCATGGCTCCACAGCTGGTCCTTTGCTCCATTCCCCCTCACCTAAGGCATATTTCACAAACTTTTATAGCTCATGAACTATCATAACAGTGGCTGGTAGTGGGGAGCAGGAAAAGGGAATCAATGCCCACCTATATTACCTCACTAATCATTCCTTACCTCCACCCTCCAAAAAATGTTAATAGGAAAAAAATGGGACTGTTCTTCCAAGAGATAGCAATGAAATGTCATCTTTTTATTAAATATCATAACTTCTTCATGCCAGAAACAAAATGTACAGACATTGTGATGCTATCAACATTCCATATGAACAGTATGAGAGGTCAGCCTGAGGACTGACCACCAATAGCTCCCAGGCCATCATCTGAACACCACCCACTCAAAGCTACAGACACATTCCTGGAGGCAGGAAATGGATCCTACAGAGGTCTCTCTAGAGAGAGAGATTGCATAACCTCCTTCACTCGTCCAAGTCAAAAGTGGTCAAATTCAAGAATTCTTAACCCAAATGGCCTATGATTCAATTTAAGATTTATATAGGAAGACTGTTCTGGTCCCCCCCCCTCCACCCCACAGTTGTTAGTGCTTTCTCCCCAGAAGTGATTTTGGGTGCCATTCTGAAATCAGTTTCTAAGTCTATGTTTCCTTCAGCAGCGATGGGTTGGTTGACTTAGGTCCTCTATCCCCAGTGGCTTGACACGTACGAGGGGGCACGGTCTTCTTTTTGAATTCTGTCCTTCCCAGATGTGACGTGGATGTCTCTTTCTCAGATAAAAGAATCACAAGTATCTTCATTTTCTCTCATTGCCTAGGCTTTCTAACCTTGTATTTTTCTTGAAGCTTTGCTGTAAACTCTTCTCCAAACTTGGAGAACTTGTAAACTAGTCTAAGTAGTGCTGAGCAGGGTGTGGCCTTTCCCACGGGCCTGCCCCAGGAGCCTCAGCCTTCACATTGGTAGCTGTGTGCACACGCACACATTTAATAATATACAATGCACACATAGGCAGTATTAACATAACATACCGCACACACTTGGTGGGCCTGCCATGTGGTCTGATGAAAGAACACTGCCTTTCAGATGACACAGATTGTTAATCTAATTCATGAATTTTCATACAAGAGGAAAGCAGCTCAGGGAAGTTGAAATGCATTCATAAGGACTCAGTTAAGTGCACACCACAAGGCTTTTGAAACAATCAGGTGGGGGACTGTGGGAAGTCGTTGCTGAGGGAAATCCCTCGACCCATACAGGTTGGCCCCTTCTCTGCAGCTTCTCACCTAGAAAGTGGCTTGGGCCACACAGCCAGCACAAGCCAGAATCAGGACCAGAATCCGGGTCTTCTGGATTTTTAATAAAATAATACCCATCGTTCCAGGCTGTCTCTCCTGTGCAACTGTACTCCAACCCAGACATCTGGATTCACTACACGGTGGATTCCTAACAAACATTCTGAATTGGTGGAGCCCTCTGGGATGCTGGAGGACACAGATCCCACTTTTAATCAAGGAGAAAGCGGAGGCTTCCTGAGACGTTCCACAGTCAGTGTCCAGCAGACTCCAGCTGGGGTTTCTTGTTTCTGTCCCTCCCCTTCCCAGGCATTCGCTCACCAGAGTCAAAGTTAGCATCTGTAGGAGCATCTCAGTTCCTCCCCCGACACAAGCCAGAAACAAATCTTTGTAACTCAGTCATGGGACAAGTTCTGCTAGAGACACCTGCCCTCAAGGGGCTTCCACTTCCTCAAGTGCAAAAAGGAGTGGGATAAGGGGACGGCTTCCAAAGGTGTGGCCACACACCACCGTACCTAGAGCTGAGGAAGCCAGTGTTCACTGCAGGGAACCAATGAACAGCCTTCATCCATCAGGGTTCTCTTATCCATCCTTAAACAATCACCACACAGTCTAAACAGGACTGTTTACCTCGATGACCAGAGTCCATGTGGGAGTACTGGTTCTGCTCTGGCCCGCTATGAACTGACAAGCGCACCCAACAGGCCTCTTCTGGCCCCGACTGGTTATAACCCAAGGCTATGTCTTGCCTCACGCTGCAAGCACCAAGACAGCCACTGTTCTTGTCCCTACACTAAGCCAGACTCAGCCTCTTTTCCCAGAGAGGTGAAATACTGTGTTTCCCATCCCAAAGGACAACGCTCACACTCACAACTAATGACTGAAAAGCCTGGCTCCTGCACCCTCAACTTCCCATGTAGAATTCCTAAATCAAAACCACAAGCGCTCCACGCACCCTGCAGCCAGCGTCCTTACTGATTACCCTGCAGGGCACGCACTGACTTATTTCAGCGGGGGCTGGGATCGGGTGGGGGAGGCAATGTGATTAAAATGGGGGCCATGCTGAGGGAGGGAGCCGGTAGGCGCAGAGAGGCCGTCTGCCTCCTCTCTCTAAGGCGGTTTCTTCAGCCAGGAAGGATTTCGTTTCCTCCTGAGTTTGGCCTGAGGATTCTGATTTTTGAAATCTGGGCTTTGTCCTCAGGCCTTCATATTCCGCTTCCTTCGTCCCTTTGTTTGGAAATTCTTACACTGTAGATAATGAAAGCTTTACCAGAAGATGCTTCAGGATCCTCAAAATCGGCCCTGGGTTTACCGAAGTGTCAGAAGCATCTGCTTTTTAGGCCAGAGACATGACACTCCCAGCTTCAGGGGTTCGAATGGAATTTTAATTTTTCCTTCAATTACATCTGCATTCAATAAATACCCAAGTTTCCACATGCCCCCTCAAAGAAAAAGGAAAAAATAAATCAGGCTTAGCTGAGATCAGCTATAAAGAAATAGCATAGCGCACAAATGGCCTGGCCTGCTCCGACAATCAGTGCTTACTCAGGCAGGTCAGGTCCGGAGGCTGGACGGAGCAGGGTTTTCAAACACCCAGAAGGAGGGAGATGGGCACACTGACATTCTCCTGAGGCTGCCTGGTACGTCTGCTGTAAGGCCATTTCCCCTTTCTTACACATACTGCTCCTCTGGAGTGACTCCGGCTGAAGGCCAAATACACCTGATGACTGACAATGAGGCAGATTCTTTCCTCTCAGAGAGCACCGGGTGGGGGGTGGGGCTAGGTGCATTGTCTCCTCCTGACCCAGAGAAGATCTGAACTTGCTCTGCTCCTGACCTATGCGAAGGCTGCAGCTGTCTGGAATATGGAGTTCCTCAATACCAACCCAAAGAGAAAGCACATCTGAGCTGGTTCCTTTACTAGAACCCAAAGTTTTCACAAACTCCTAAAATGTGCCACACCGCTGTGAACCTGGTGAAGACCCTCTTCAGACATCCTTGCTGGGACCCCAGTACTGAGAAATGCTCACTCAGATGGTCAGCAAGGAATAATAAGGCAGAAAAATTCCTAGGCCAGTATCAAAAAACTGAATTTTGGGAAGAGGAACCCCAAGTGGGCTGGAAGATGCAGACCGTCAGGAGGTGGGAGCTGAACAAATGAAGCTGAATGTTGAGAGAAGTAAAGAGCCAGAAGAGAAAGCCTGTGTGGACCCAAAGGAGCGGCCCTCCCTCGGGGGGACTCCCCACGAGCATGGCCAATGGAGGCCGGGCCCCTGGCACCTGTCATTGACTGCCTTAAAATGACACTGCACACACGTGTGTGCATGTACATGAGGTGTGGGGATGCAGCCGTGTACCAGCCATCCAAGGCTCTGGTGCATGTCTTGAGAGAAGCCAGGGGCAGCTAGGGGGTGCAGTGGATAGAGCACCGGCCCTGAAGTCAGGAGGACCTGAGTTCAAATCCGGCCTCAGACCAAACACTTGACACTTACTAGCTGTGTGACCCTGGGCAAGTCACTTAACCTCAATTGCCTAAAAAAAAAAAAAAGAAACCCCTCTCTTGCTGATGATTCCCACACACGTCTTGGGTGGCACAAGTGGGTCAGCAGCTGCTGACGACGGCTCGGGACCGTTTCCATCGCTTCCCCTTGGACAGACAAGCCTAGTAAGCTCTGGGGCCACTAGTGGGGCCAGGAATGGCTGCAGACAATTTTCCTCTCACCATCACTCTAACTCCAAGGATATCGGAATTGTTCAAGCTCCCAATTTCCTGACAAAGACCCTTCCCCTCCACACGGCGAGTTTAAGCCAAACGGGGGGCAGCCCACCAATCCTCTGACAGGATGTCACAGACCCAAACAATGACTTCTGGGGGTGGGATCATTTTATATACAAATGACAGCGTTGCGCTAGGTTTTTATTTCAAACACTCAGCAATACTTTCTGGAAAGGGAATGGCTCTCAGGTAAAACCAGTCTCTGCACCAGAAAAGCCTGTGCCCCAGGAGCTAAGACTAAAAACAGAAGGTAAGAATCTCGAGTGACGCCACGTCCCACGCCGTCACATCAACAACATAAACATGGGGGTGCTGTCACCACGGAGGCCCTGCCAAGAAGCAAGTACTTGTGTCCTGGACAGCACATGTTTCCATGGGGGGCTCTCCGAGGAGGAAGGCTGGGCCGAAGACAGGGAAGCGTTTGCTCTGTTCGCTGTCCTCAGAGGCAGCTGCTGCTGGGAGGGATTCTATTCTGTCAGAGGAAAAACACTCGACGTTAGGAACGTGCCCGGTAACAGCCAGGCTTTATTAGGAAAAAGGCAAGGAGGGCACAGCCCACCAGGTAACGGCCGGGGGTCTGATCTCACCCCCACGTCTGAGAGGCAGGGCTGACAATGGGAGATCCCCACCCTCCACCCCAGCACGGCCACCATCCTTACTCCTCCAGCTTGGACCTTTGAAATGAACGGCTGAAAACACACAAATAATGGTCATGCCCCAAATCGTGTGATTCTACCCTGAGCTCCTGCTTGGGGGGCTTGGCTCCTAGCACTGGCCTGTGTCCCTGTGGTAACCACCAGCCCGTGTCTGCAGCCCTGCCCATCCCCAGCAGAAAACGTAAAAAATGTTCAAAACCCGCTACAATCCACGTAGATTCTGAAAATCAGAGATGATGGGACTTCCAGTCAAGCTATGTGAGGCGAGTGCTACCTCCTTGTAACTCAGGACTTCTGACTGTCAGACCAAGCTCAAGAAACTGAATGACAGAAGCAACAGCTCATGCCGCACGTGTGCAGGAGCATACACACACACACACACACACACACACACACATACATAGAGTTCATGCCTCACACATATCCATCTTCCAATTTCTCACTGCAGCTTCTGGCCTTGCCAACAACGCCCCTCTGGACACCCAGTCTTGGGCTCCTCTGGTCGCCATCTCCTCCTGTCCATCTCAGTCACCGTTACTTCAGGGGGTCATCATCTATCTCCAGCCTGTCCTTCTCTTTCCCTGGGGGACTTCATTGGCTCCCAAAGGGGTCCAATCATCATCCCTGTACATCTGACTTTCACATTCACACATTCAGCCGAATGGAAGTCACCATTTGTAAAACCAAACTCTTCTCCCTAAAGCTGCCTCTGCTCCAAACATCCACCTCTCCACTGAGGATGCTGCCATCTTAATTCCACCTCACTCTCTTCCCACTCTGCACTCCACACGCCTGCATGGACTGGTCTCATCTGGCCTTGCGTCACAGTCTCGCACAGGACCCACTCAGCTGAGCTGTCCTCTCTCCACTCAAAACTCCCTACAGTTTTTCTCCTAATCCCCCCCTTTGTGCCCAGAAGCATCCTTATTTGTAGGTGCGGTGTTTCCCCCCGCCCCCACACCTGCTGGCAGGGCAGCGGGACTTTCAGGCTTGTTCCTGTCTCGCACCCAGGAGAGCACGTTATTGATGCCTGCTGCACTGCTCCAGGTTCCCTTTCCCCTCAGGCTGGCCCAGGCTGGCAGACTCTTTAAGTTCCTGAGGACGTTCTTCCTTCAGCAGTTACAGTTCTCTTCACACCCTTCCTGAAAATCACCCCCTGTTCTGAGCCTTCTGGAGAAGTGGGTACTCTGCTGTCTATCACCCGGCTATGACGGGGATGAGCCCGGGGGCAGCCCTGCTGGGCACCAGGGACCAACGAGGGCTGAGGCCCTGTGCAGAGACCCTGGGGAAGGCGCGACACCATTCTGTGCCTCCACATTTGTTTGTATTTAACAGGTTACTTCAAAGGTCAAATCTGGAGGTGAAAAGACAATGGTGGCAACTGCAGGATGTAAGAGGGCTAGCCCACTGGCAAGGGCTCTCCAATAATTTTTTCCTAATAATATCCAGGTTAACGGGAAGATACACACACACACACACACACACGTTTTTGAAGATCAATGTAGTGTACTATTAGAGTAAGATAAAAACGGTTGGCAGTTAGCTTCAGAATAACGTCTTGTTTTCACGTCAGAACAGGCTGGGTTTCCTCTTCTGAGAATTCACAGGACTGCCGATGAACCAAGGCTGCCTGCCACGCCCTTCAGGGAATGGGAAACTTCCTGGCTCCAGGAGCAACTCCTTGCTTCTCCTCCAGCCGTGCCCTGAGCTCTCCCCTGTTGTGCTGCGGGGACTCAGGGCTGAAACCGCTATCTAAGGCGATCCTGTCAACCAAGATGCCGACTGCAAGGCAACAGGAGAATTGACACACCCAAAGCTACTCGTTTCCCAGGGCTCTGGTGAGGACATGGAAACTCAGTGCTAACAACCCACAGAGACAATCAACGGTCAGTTCTGGCACCGAGTGAACTCCTTCACCCTTCCAAGAGGAGAACAGCTATGACAAGGACATTGACCGGGACTCTACAATTCTGGGAGCCCCAACGAAGGCTTGGCCGCCGTTATTACAGCGGGACGTGAGATCGTGCCCAGCAGGAGTGGCCCAAGCCTGCACACGCACTGTCCTCATTTTACTGTGCAGGCCTTGCCTGGGGGTCCATCCATTCTGCTGAACTACTTTCTTTCTCTTTCATTTGGGACAGGGATGACTCCTTGTGGAGGGGAGGGGGTGCAGATGACTTAGAAACAAGAGCTATCAATAAAACAGGATTATAAAACAGGGTAGAAAAGAAGCCCACCAAATACGGCTTCTGGCTCTTGTTAACGTACACACACATACACACACACACACACACACACACACACACACACACACACACACACACACACACAGAGACACGCTACCATGGCCATCTCCATTCCTCTGCTGACTTTTCTGGGTGGCTCACGAAGACCGACTTCAGGAGCTGCCCACCTGTCCCCGCAGTTTTCACATCATAAACCTCTTTGCCCTCCATTCACACATACGGGAGCTCTTAGGGAGTTCGTGTTTAGAGGCCTGTTCTTAGTTCAGCTGCTGGGCACCGTGGCACTCAGAGCCACCTATCACATCTGGAACGTCAGACGCCTGTCTCTACGGCTTGCGCCCTCAGCATCACCAGTGGTTTCTGCCCACCAAGCTGAAGGGAGCCCACCGGGAGGATGGAGCCCCATTCGAGCCGGTTCCCAGACAGTACGAGGGGAGGAACAGCTCAGAGACACTCTTTTACTCACATTTATTTCTCCTGGTGAAGAGCTTCAATGAAAGCATCTAGTTTTTCTTGAATTTCTCTCACTTTCTCTAAGAAGACAAAAAGAAATAAACATCTTGTTTACTTTGCATTTTCTGTCCTAAAGACCACAATAAAACTTTATTAAACCTTTATTATCTGTCCTCAGTACCCACGGTTCAGGCCTCAAAGGAACCACCCACTTCACAGATGAATGTATGCAGCCCACCAAGGTGCGGTCCCGTGGCTTAGGAGGGAGCTAAGGTCCCATGAGACTGAGCTGGGATTTGCAGCCCAGGCTCTGAGTCCACTCCAGGCCTCCCAGCCCAGAACCCCGGGATCTCTAGTGTATCTTACTATTTACAGAGGCAAACTTTGGTTCATCCTCTGTTTATGCTTTCCATACAAGTATTCAATCATTTTATAGCCAAAAAATGGTCATAAAATGACATGGCAGTTCTAAGTGGTTTTCCTCAACTTGGTACAAACATGAAAAAAGGATCTAAGATACTATTTAAAAAATATACATTTCTTCTAAAATAACTTCAAAAGTACAAGACAATCAAAGCACATTTTAATCTGCAAAAAAATACTGATTAGATTCACTAGCACCCAATCTAGCACCCAGAAAGTGCTTGTGAGGTGTGTCTGGAAGAGCACCAGAGATTTTAGGAGGTAGAGGTGAGGTTAGGAGGTGAAGGTGAGGCACGAGATGGTCAGTACAAAAGTAGGCTGGACCATGGAGGGAGTGGGTGGGGGAGCTGAAAGGCCAAAAAGGGAAAGCCATGTGTGACCAGTCATTATCTCCCCTTGATTTTAGAGTCTGGAAAGATACAGAGTAACGACTCAACCCTTTCTTCCTCTTTACCCAACTTAGACACAAGGTTAAGTTGCCATTCAGAAAAACCAAACCTAAAGCTGAGGTACCCATTCAAAGTTAGTGACGTATGAGCAGAATGACAGAGTTCAGTTTTACATGGGAAAAAAAAACACAAACAGGCTTTTGGTGGAGTTCTACACTTTATGTTTAAATCATAAACTTAGAATAACTATTTCCCAAGGAACACTTCCACAAGTGATAAAACACTGGGGATGCCCATTTGGTCTGAATCCTTATCAGCTGTTTCATTTTGAAATAGTTCAGATTTTAGATTTTACCTGTCAGAAGTGACTGTTCTCAAGGTCAACGCTTAACCCCCCCCCCCAAAACCACACACTGAAACGACATGACAATGATGAAAACACAGGTGACAGAAACCTGTCCCACAGAAAACGAAGCAAAACTAATAAGAATAAATGCACTGAGAAGAAGAGCCTCCCTTCCTTTCTGTGGCAGGATTCAAACTCCAGGTCCAGCAGTCCCTCCTATCTCTGAATCCCAGAGCCGCCCCGCTCTGACAGCACAAAGCCCTCAACAGACTTCTGTCCCTCTTTCTCTCTCCCTCCCTCCCTCTCTATCTCCCCCTCACTTCCACCCTGCCATTAACTCCTTCCATCCCAGCTATAAGGCACCCTTCCCCAGCAGCCACTGGGGCCAGGGCCAGGCTGGAGGGGTTATCCCCAGCATGGTGGTGGCCGTTTACAGGGTGCTGGCTTCTGGAGCATGCTTTAGTTACAAATGAAGGAGGGAGCATTAGATGGCCCTGGGACGCCCAATGCTCAGAGCTGCCCATTGCACAGACAAAGTACATGAAGAAAGGAGTCGCAGAGGGTTAAGTGACATTCCCAGGGGCAGTCTGCACCACCTCCCCATGAGAACCTACTTCTGCACGCTATGTCTCCTGCAGCTTAGGTGTTTGGATTGAGGAGAAACAGCCGTTGGTGAAAACGCATCACCAGGTGACTCAGGGAGGTGCCCGAATCCTGGGGCCAGACGCAGTGCGAACTGAGCCTACAGGCAGCCAGAAAGGGAGGGTGGAGGTGGGCAAGAAGCCGGATTTGAGAGAACGGCATCAAGTCTGGGAAGGAACAGAAAGAAGGGCCAGGACATGCCCCAAAATCACGAGTTAGGCCCCTGCCTCTCTGGCAGCAGAGGGTGAGTAGTCATGAGCAGCCCTCCTCACTAAGGGAAAGAGGCAGCACTCTGATTTCCCGGGCACAGGGAAAAGAAACTCTAAGCGAATCTAAAAATGCAGAGTCACTTCTGAAATGCCAATCTACTTCTTGGGAAGAGTCTTAGTTAGCAGGACAGGCCTCATCTAAGGCTGGAAGAGACTCTGTCACTGCGATGCCAGAACTGGGATCTAATGAGGTTCTCACGGCCTCCATGGCTCTGCTTGGATCCTCTGGCTTAGAACACACGCTTCATCACTCAAAAGAAGAGTACTTTCAGGGAGAAACATGACTGGACTCCAACTTGGCTTTTGAAAATGTTTGCTCTTCCCAGGACCGGCTTCTCAGGTGTCAGAAGCACCATCAGATTTTCTCTGGTCCCAGAGCTGCCCGTCTCTCCTTCCTTGTGCTCCTGGCAACTTCATCCTCACTGCCAGAGAGTTCACACCAAGATGAGCCTCCAGTCCTGGACACTAGAGACAGCTGCATTTCTGGCCGGTTCTTGGAGACTCCATGGAAAAGAGGGGCAGCCTCGCGGGAATGGGGATGGGCTGGCTCTCCATCCCACAGAAGACAGACGGGATCAACGTACACGGAAAAATGGGGTAGAGAATACCACTACCAAGTGACTAGCTGACTGTGTGACGCTCCCTGAAGAGTGTTCTGGATTGAACCAACACCCCGCCAGCAATTGCAGGGAACAATCCAGAGGCCTCCTGCTGAAGCCCAAAGCCCTGCCATGTTGAGTGAGTCGTCTCTCCACTGTGATGGCGACTCCCAAATGAGAACAAACCCCGCCCCCGTGCAAGAACCGACGCCGTCTTGTGCCGTGGCCGGCATGCAGCGAACTGAACCAGATGTTCTAGAAGAGAAACCTCCCAGATAATTTCCTTGTACTCCTTGTAGTCTTTTATATAACAAAAAAACATGCCCCACTCTTGAGAAATGTGAGGACTTCAGCCTCTCCCCAAGACAGCCCCCAAAGTCCCCTCCCCTCACTCCAATGCCCTTATTACAAGCTTCAGACAACTGTAAAAACTAGGCAAAGACAATAAAGTACCAAGGAGTGCCGGGTCATCTCCTACGGTATCAGTAACATTATTTTAAAAAATCTTTAAAAATCACCCATTTTTCCCCTTGTGGTTTCCTCCGGTTCACAAACACCTTTTCCTCTTAGCGGGGGGGGGGGGGGGAGGCATCCAGGCAGTCCTCCAGGATTTTCCCCTCTGTTAAGAGTGAAAGCCAATGGGTCATTGACGGGCCCAGAAGTTCTATGCGGGAGGTACTCCTGGTCCGGGGCATGTCGTTCCCAGAACAAGACTGGCTGGTCATAAGAGCTGCAGAGGTCCAAGAACTGGGCTGTCGGCAGGAGGTGGAGCTGCTCAGGAACCATGGCCACTTCTTAAACCATTTACTCATTAGTATCAAGAAAGAAAGTACAGAGAAGTATAGCACAGGAAGAGAAGAAAGGACACAGACTTTGGCAGGCAAATCCAGATTTATGAACCAACTTGAAAAGCACTTTTTCAAAATCAAGAATCAGGACCAAAGTCTTTTACAAGTTAAAATCGAGATGAAAGGGGGCAGCTAGATGGCTCAGTAGATAGAGCACCAGTCCTAGAGTCAGGACTCGACGTCAAGTCCAGCCTCAGATACAACACTTACTGGCTATGTGACCCTGTGCTAGTCACTTAGCCCCAACCGCCTTAAGAAAGAGAAAAGTAATCAAAACAAAAGGTCCATTTCACTCAAATAAGATGCCAAGTAGGAGGCTATCAATTTCAAAAAAACAAACAAAAAACTAATTTTAAGATTAATTTCATTAAACCATTAAAATTTATAAAGTTTATAAACTTCAAAGCATGTTTTTTCTCATTAAAAGATGTAAAATTGCCATGAGAACAGAGGACATGCCATTGTCCTAACTGTCCACAGCAGACAGAAGCAACCTGTGTCTCTTTGCACTAACCCCATTTTTCACTTACTTTCCAAACACTCTTTGCAGTATTAATATTTTCTCACTGACATGAATGGTAGTAATATTCTCTTTATACAGATGGGCAGAAAAACAGCATTCCTCCAAAGGTCAGACGTAGGTGAATTTTTGGAGGGCACGACCCCAGCTACAAACCGCTGTGGAGCGATCACAGGACAGTCGCTGCGTCTGTATGTAGAGGGAGCTGCCGCTGCGTTCTGGGAGTCTTCAGGGGAAGGAAGGATCGACTGCAAAGGGGAAGCTGCTGGGGAGAGAAGGCATCACGTGGCGACACGACGAGATGTTCCTCGGTAGCGAGGCCTTCCTCGGCCTTGTCCATGCTGGGCGCGTACCGACAACAGGAGATGAGTTACCGGAGGCGGCGGCAGGTCAAACCCAGCGCTAGACAAACACACCATTTCAGAGCTGGAGGACAACTTTAGGGGTCACAGGATCAGGGAGAATGGTAGAGACTGAGGCCAGAGGAAGATGCTGAGGGGCCCCAGAGGCCCAAGGCTGTCTAGTCTCACTGCTGTCTCCATCATTCCTGATAAACTGGACAAACCTCTGGCAAAAACCTCCAAGGACAGGGCGCTCATCAGCTCATAGGCAGAGTTTATTCCATTATTTTAGCCAAAATCATATTCGGAGGTAGCTTTTATTTTTGGTGAGTTGCCGTAATATTTATTCATCGGTCCTAATTCTGTCTCTTCCACCTGTGTCAGCTGAGTGGCTCACTGTACAGAGTGCTGGGCCTGGGGTCAGAAGGACCCCAGTTCAAATCCAGCCTCAGAAACTTACTGGATGTTTGTCTCGGCTCCCCCACTGTAAGCAGGGGATAACAGTGATGCCTACCTCAGGGTGTCAGAAGGATAAAGTGACATACTACCTGCACAGAAAGGGCCACAGAAATGCTGGCTACCCTTCTAAGCAGTTTCCCGCCTCCCGTCCCTCCTGAGCTCTACCGCTGAAGAGACTGTTTCTGCTTCAGCCCCTGCCCAGGGGCCCCTGTAGCCCTCCATCACTTGCAGGGCCCCTGCTGCC